ACACACACACACACCTATACACACACACACACACACCTATACACACACACACACACACGCACAAACATACACACACACTCATTCACTCATTTTCACTGTCTCAACCTCCCTCGCCCTCTCCTCTTATCTCTCTCTTCTTTCTCACTCTCTTCTCCCTCTCCTCTTTCTCTCTTTCTCTCATGTACAAAACTTACTTGTCTGGATGGGAACGAGAGAGCACGACAGTCTCCCTTGCTTCTGGTACTCAACCTTCACCATTTTACCGTCCGCTTCCAGGCAGTCTACGCGCTTGTACAGAGCTCCAATGAACCAGGTCTGTCAAAGGGAAAAATCTTTTATTTCTCCTGTATATACCTTACACACACATACCTACTGTACATGTCTCTGTGTGTAAATAGATATAGATATGCAGATTCAAATATTTCCAGAAGCCTCATGCTGTCCGCTAGAAGGCCTGAATCTTCTCTGCGCTTACTCACACACCTTACGGATGGTGACCGAGCAGGCGACCCGGGAGCAGGACACCCACGGCTCCCCGTCGGCCTCGCTCGGGCATCCAACCTGCAGTCCGATGTCGCATTCCTGCCGTAGCTTCACCGAGTGCGCAGCCTGTGGAAAGGCAATCGAAGTGATGAAGAGAGAGAGAGAAAGAGAAAGGAGGGAGGGAGGGAGAGAGAGAGGAAGTGTGTCAGAGAGAGAGAGAGATAGAGAGAGAGAGAGAGAAGGGGGGGAGGGAGGGAGAGAGAGGGGAAGTGTGTCCTGGAGGAAGAAATATATTCACAAGAGCAGAGAAAAAAAAAGCGGACAAGATTTTCCCACTGACTGAAATTAGGAGAAGGAAAGCAGCGACTTGTCTGAGCGAGCCCATCGTTGCTAAGACTGCGAGGTGCACTGCCAGCATTCGAGTCGCGATGCAGCCTTTATAAAGTCTCTTTGGGCCGCCCTGTGACGTCACGAGTTGGTCTGATGTCGATGTATATGCGAGGTGGTCATAGAATATATTGAATAGGAATTTAAGGGCAATTATTTGTATAAGCTCACCATATCAAAAGGATGTATGTAAATATTTCTAGATGAAGAGGTTGCCAGCCGTACAATTCTTTCCTGACTATGAGTTGCTATATTGTATATCATATATTCCTGCCATGAAAACGAAGACAAACCAGAAGTGCTTGTTGCCGTGAGCTGCAGTCCACAATAAATTTTAAAAAATCAAGGTTGTTTGCTAGCCAAATGGACATTCTCGTAAAGAGAACCGGTTTTAACCCAATGGTGCCGGGGAAAATGAACAAAAAATGGGGAAAATATTGTGCCCACTTTCTATGTTTTTCGTGAAATGTCTGCCGATAGATGGCTCTGCTAGCGCCTGATTTAAATGGGGGGAAAAACGTATTTTTCACTAGTGCCATGAAAATCGATGGTGTTTTTTTTATCATAAACATTATATTTTTTATAATTCTTTTTTAACATTGGTAACAGCAAAATAAGATTACGTAAAATATTTTGTAAATCAAAGAAACGGGTAAACGGGCGAGACGGGCGGTGCTCGTAACTGGCTCATTGGGGAGTTTGTACAAGTGTTGCCATCTATGCGTAAAAACAATCAAACAAGTACTCACTGTGGGCATAGCACGTACGTACACGTCATACCCGGCACCAAGGGGTTAATCCTAACCCCGGAAGAAAATGAAAATCAGAGAGCTGGAAGTGCTAACAGAATCAAGCAATCAGCTGTTTACAACAAGTAATCTGCTGTTCACAATAAGCAATCAGCTGTTTACAACAAGCTGTTTACAGCTCGTTGTAAACGACTGCGTACTGTAAACAGTACGTTGTTTTCAAGAGTCAGCCTCATGATATTTTTAACGGTAATTCACTAACTGAATTGATATCCTTTTATTATATTTTTTTCTGTATTGGGTCCAATATCTTATCTTGTGGTACACACACACACACACACACACACACACATATATATATATACATATATATATACATACATATATATATATATGCATACATATATATAATATATGCATATATTATATATATGTATATAAATATATATATATATACATACATATATATATATATATATATATATATATATATGCATATATATATATATATATATATATATATATATATATATATATAGAGAGAGAGAGAGAGAGAGAGAGAGAGAGAGAGAGAGAAAGAGAGAATGTGGGATATGGCTATAGCCTTGGATTTGAGAGGGACTGCTCTTGGAAATCCTCAGACTGGATTCGTTCAAACGCAGTCAGGAGTAACCCAATAGTTTTTATTTTCGGTTATTTGATTTCCTGATGTGTTTTTTTTCTATTTGAGTCGCTGGTATTTTAATTTTGTTTTCCAAAACAAACTGTTCCTTAGAATTATACTTTCTCAGTCTTTGTCTCTCTTTCTTTTTTCTGCTTTTCACTGATATTCCATGTATCTGTTCCATTTAGGGTATCATTCGAGAGAAAATATTAAACGG